ATTAATAAAAATTATAAAACCTCATAATCGTTTACAAATCAGATTTCCTTTCGGGGGTTGTCCCCGAGTCCCCACGAGGGGCGCTGCCCCCTCGATCTCCCCGACAGACCGAGCAGGTCGATCCCAGGGGCGTTGCTCCCCTCCCCCCGAGCCCCATTGTCCCATTGACCCTCGTGACCTATCACTGTTATTTTAGTAGCACTCATGTTCACACTCAATCTGGATGGCAGTGTTCGTAAACGAGTTTTCATCTCTATCTTCTCACCTTTATTATTTTTTTTCTCTTTCTCTACTTTCACTGTATATGAGACTCAATAATATCTCTACCCACACTCTTTGTATTCCATCTTTAATTCATTTGTCCTCTAGAATAAAGATCATGGAGACTACGAGTTAAAGAAAGAAACCCTAGAAATCGCATTTTCATATTCTTCACTCTCTCTCACATAATTTTTTGCAGATTCACTTGTGTGTTCTTGTTCCCTAATCTGTACTGTGTTTGTTCTTGTTCATTTCTTGTCTGTTTTATGTTGCAAAATTTGTACTGTGTTTGTTCTTGTTCTAATTTGTTTTGATAATTTTCGTTTCCCTAATATGTGTGTTGATTTTCGTCGTTTTCTGCTGCGAAGTCTACTGGCTCAGTGAGAAGGTAAGATTTAAATACCTTTGGGTAAACTCAAAGGTTCGAATGACAAATCGCCTGAAGCACAGCTGACTTTGCGCTTCTACGTCGTTAATTTCCTATTGAAGGCTCGCTGTTTTCTTCTGCGATCATTTGCCAAGCTAAGGGGAGATCCGTCTAAAGCACTTTATTTTGCCCTAAAGTTCTAGCGACCGATTTTTTCTATGTTCTCATGATCAACATAAGGCAAGTTTTCATTTTTCCCTCATAAAAATTGTTTAAATTTCAAAATTTGTGAAGGGGCGTCTTCAATAACAAATTACTTGTTCAAGATTTGGGTTTTCATTTTCTGGATGCGTTGGTTTTTCTCATTGTCTATGATAAAGTTGTTGGGTTTAATCTATAAGCAAGATTCCTTTGGTTAGGAATTTATTTTTGAAAATTAGTATACAATTTGTGAAGTTGTGCAAACAACGACTCCAAATAATGAGAGGTGAAGGGTGAGACTCCTTTTTGGAAGAAATATATTCTTTCTGTCAACAACATTATATTGATGTACTTGATATGGATGATATGTCTGTACGTCGTGCACTTCGTAGTCGCCCACAACATAATCATTCATAAATTACAAATTTACATCATTATCAGGTAGATTTGTTCTACTTTGTCATTAATCTACAACTTCAAAAATTGAATGATCGTTTCTCAGAGGTAAATACATAGTTACTCCTTTGTGTAGGTTGTTTATGTCTACAAGATTCATTTTCTTCTTTTGACAATAAAAACTTGATTCGACTTCCTGAACTTTATCCATTAGATTTCTATGTATTAGATATCGTTGTACTTCATGATCAATTTGGGACTTATATTTTGACATACACCCTAACAAATAGTCTAAATGGTTGACCGATCTTGGTGATCTTGCAGAAAAATTAGTTCTGACAAATAAAAATGTGGTATATCCATTGGTTTACAAATTTTTGACTTTAGTGTTGATTCTACCAGTTATTATCGCTACCGTGGATAGAGTATTTTCTGTAACGAGCATTGTAAATGATAGCTAGTGTAATCGGATTGGTGATCAGTTGATGAATGATAGCATAGTTGTTTATGTAGAGAAATATATATTTTTGAAACTCGATAATAAAGTTATTGTACAACGAT